CTACGGCAACAGCAATCCCTTGGCTACAGAGGGCGAGACGGGAGAGGTGATTGGCTCCCAAGCGGCGCCCAGCTGGACACGCAGGAAGCCCATTGGTTCACAGGCACACCTTGCTATTGGGCGACACATGGGAGCGGGTAGCGGTCTGCTGGGTTGGGGGAGGCGAGCGCCACTCTGTGGGGACGAGGAGCTGAGCTTGGTGACATTCTGTCCTTAAACTGGTGTCAGCCTACAATACAAGCCGCATTTATTCTATATTAACCTCGATCTTCAAAAAGTATTTTTTGGAAAACACTTCTTGACCTGTTTGAAATTGTCTGGCAATTAACAACTAAGGAAATTCCTTCTAAGCAAACCTGTTTACACTTGTTTGATCCTTATAGTGGGAACAGTAGGATCTCAACTTGTCTAAGAACATCAGTTAAGATTGGCCAATTCCTAGATGTGCTTAATCTAAATTCAAGAGTATAAATGTGCTTGTAAAATCATGAGGGCCTCAGTGATGGTCTATAAGACAGCATCTCTGTACACGGAGATCTTCCAGTTCCATGTATGGACTCAGGGGGGCACTATGAAATTCTGACCTCAGGCACACAGGCACTCCCGGTGACACCGTCTTATCAGTTACCCTCCACTAGAATCCAAAGTCACCCTTCTGCACAGCAGTTGCACATTTTATCCACGCTCCTCCTGGAACCCTGCCATTCCATTTCCTTGCCGATGCTGCCAACCGCCTCACACTTTACTGCAACTCACACTTTTCCCCCTGCATTGGTGCACTCAGGCAACCGACAGCAGAACCCCAGCCAGCGCCCGATAGTGCCAGCGTGGCCCTTCGACGCTTCGCGGTGACAGCGATCCCAGAAAGTGGCCTCGGCACCCCTGTCCTGCGCGCTTTCAGGAAGGGCATTTAACAGCAAAACCAGACATTGAACCGGACCATCGGGAAACAGGAAATGCCACCAGCTCACACTTGCTTTTCCGACCATGTGAAAAGTGGGACATGCTTAGCGGCAGGTACCAGGCTGCCAGCAACCGGCCGGATCGCTCTCTCCTTCCTCAGTGTCGTTCGTTTCGCTTCTGTGCGCTGAAAATGCAGTACACCCACATGGAAGCTGTCCAAGCTGTACTGCTAATGGCTTTTATGCCCAGTTGCCTCCATAGATGTCACAAATTATTACACACCGGTTGAAATCAATCCAGAAAATCCTCTTGCCACAAGCCAGGGCACCATAAAAGCTCTGCAAAAAGTGTTGTACGCCATACTGGAACAAGTGAGTCAAATCAATGGCGGGGAATTACGCACATCACTGACAAATAACATATACTTAGGGGTTGAGTGTTCATTGAGTGCTGTTGTTTACCTGAATGTTACGGCCCTTCGCTGAGGGTAGATCCAAACTGAGGAGTTAACAGTTCATCAGAGAAGCTGAGCTGGGCATGGCTGTGGGACGGACGACAGAAAACAGTCCCCTGACATCGTTGACCTTCAGCGACCCTCAGTTTGAAAGAACTGCCTGTATTACCTCACTGCATGCGGCTGGGTTTGCAGCTAGCCCACAGCTAAAGAAGCAGGAAGCTGCAGGCACAGAGGGAGGCTCGGCACAATGCAGAAGCGCAGAGCTCGCCTCTGCATCTGACCACATCTCCGACCCACCTGCGAGCTAAGCAAGCCTCTGCATCTGACCACATCTCCGACCAACCTGCGAGCTAAACAAGCCTCTGCATCTGACCACATCTCCGACCCACCTGCGAGCTAAGCAAGCCTCTGCATCTGACCACATCTCCGACCAACCTGCGAGCTAAGCAAGCCTCTGCATCTGACCACATCTCCGACCCACCTGCGAGCTAAGCAAGCCTCTGCATCTCAAAACAATGCAAACACTACCCATCAGCATCCGCCCTGCCTGACTGGGTCACACCACAAGAGTGGAGGTTTTTAACCACTGTCCAAAACTGACATATTCATTTATTCACCTGCTCGAGCTCTACATGCAACCAAAAGCAGTAATCATCCGATTTACAAACCACGAGCAGAGTTCAAAAGGCCCATTTTACAGCATCAATGTGAATATTCAAATGGAAGATGAAACAAGTACAGAATAAACTAATAATCACAAATATCTGTATATTAATAATGCATAAACTCAAAGGGCAGTAAGCACAATTTGGATTATAGAACAAATGAAATTATAGGCTGACCCAGGAGACAAAATTAACTTCAATCTGTGAGACACTGTAAGAGAAGAGGATAAGGAAGGAGCTGTTCAGGAAATAGCCCAACATGGACACTCTCCAACCAAAACAAACTGCTACTGGCAAGGAATGAGGACATCATAGGACACAGAGGCTCACACACGTCACCTCGGCAACCCCACTTCCTCTGAAAGCCGGAAGCAGCCTATCAGACGTGACCTCACCGCGGCATTGGTCTCTGCCCCGCCCTTCCGTGCCCTCTCCAGACAGGGAATCATCCTTCCCACCCCACCTCCAGCATCCTCCGGGACAAGTCAGTGAATCACCGCTGCACAATGCTAGGCTTCGCAAGCCCCTAACTGGTTTAAAAAAAAGTAATGTTTGCCTGTACAATGGGGGTGTTAGTATGGCTGGCATGGCAGTTCAGGGAACAGAAAGTGGAAAATGCTGCCCTTTCGTTACACAGCCCAAGTTCTATACTCCCCTTGTTAAGCTCCTAAACTATTTATTACTGGGAAGACAAACCCAAGAGCCAACACAGCCAGTGTAGCCCATGCAAGCACTTCACTGACCCATCAGAAGTACAGTATAAAGTATTCTTCTGATACAAAAGCACACTTGAGATGGCCCTTGAAGACAGAGGGAATGACTTATGTAAAACAAGTAACTTGGCTGAAGTAAAGGGCTATCAATGAAAAATCCAGGGAAGGATACTCAAAAGCTTTTTTGAAAAAGACAAGGAAGATACACACACAGAAACACGTCGGGTAAACATGTGTTTATGGGCACCGCTTATTCATTTCTATGGGGAAAAATGCTAACGCTAACTATGACAACCATAACCCCCACCCAGCCCTAACCATAACTATAAGTAAGCAAGCGAAATACAAGTTTCTGCATTTTTTTTTCATTGCAGTCACAGATTTTTTATTAAGGGGAAAAAAAAAACGGGTATTCATCACATTGTGGGGACATTGTGTCCCCATAAGGTAAGGTATATCCGCTTGTGTGTGTGTGTGTGTGTGTGTGTGTGTGTGTGTGTGTGTGTGTGTGTGTGTGTGCGCGTATATGTATGGAAATTAAACAATGACAAAATGATTTCCAAAAATGGAAATAGAACAATGACAGGATATAAAACAAATACAAGCATAATAAAAGGCTTAAATTTGATTTAAAATGGCTAAGGTTGGGGTACATCTAAGGTTCTTCTGAAACTGGTTAAACCGTGGACCTCATAACGGCTAAAAGCCTTTTAAAAACATTTTTAACTTCGGCTTTAGGCACAACAAGGTGAAAAGCTTCCAAGGATCTATGACACTAACCAGGTTTTATGTCAAACAATAAGTGATATATTTTGGGCCTAAGACTTTTAAAAGCCAATAAAAGGACTTCAGAATCAAACGTAATAGTAAATCCCACGGAAGTTATTTAAAAACAAGAGTAATGGGCTTTTTCTAAGTATTTCTTAAAATTCTAGCAACAGCATTTTGAATGAGTTACGGCTGTCTAATGGTCCTTTTGGGGAGGCCAGGCAGGAGAGCTCTGTAATTGTCCACCCTACTGGAAGTAATGGCAAGAATAAGCTTCTCCATGTCTTGCTTGAACATGAAGCCTCTGCTATATTTTTCAGATGACAAAGAGAAGATTTAGTTGTTGCTTTAATATGCCATCTGAAACTAATATCCTCTAATATGGTCTAATATTACACCAAAATTTTTTATCTCGGTCATTGTCTTTAGAGCCTGAGAGGCAAGGTATACAACTAAATCAAAGCCTTCCCCCTTTGTTACCAATAAGAGTAGTCTCAATCGTGCATTTGTTAAACAGAAGGACGTTTTGTTGCACCCAGTCGTTCATTTTCTCTAAGCACTCACACAGTGAGTCCATAGCTGTAGTCATTAAACAAGAGAGATAAATAGATCTGGCTGTGATCTGCATAATTCTGGCCAAGCAGAAGCTATAAAGGCAAAATAAAATATTCCCAAGAACTGATACCTGGGGGACACCAATTCACTTATTTGGATCTGCCAATAGTGACAAAATAACCCTAACCCTTCTAAATAAATTCTGAACAATGTAAAAATTATTCAAAATAGCCATGCTTAGTTTTCCAGCCTGTCGTGTCAACAGTAACAAAGGTTGCCTGAAGGTCCAAAAACACTAGAACTTCTTATACCTGCATCAGTATTCAGGTGAGTATCATTTAGCACTTTTTTGAGAGCAGTCACAGGACTGTGGTGTGACCGAAAGTTGTCACGAGAGCTCTTCCTGCCTGTGAAGAACTTCATCAATAACCTTGCCAATGAGGGGTCAGAGTTGAAATGGGTTAATAATTGTTTAGTAAGGAAAGATCCAGATTTCTCTTTTCAGGTGTTTTTTTCCCCAAATGCGGGAAAAACTCATCATAGAAGTGAACTATTGAATATTTGTAATAAACCCACTGCTACACAAGAAAACAGACAGCATGCAGATAGTAGCTGTAACTACTTCAAGGATTTGGCACTCAAGAGCACTAAATTCAGACATGACAAGCATATTATTTCAGTACAATGATCAGTCATAAGACCTAGGAGAGTTGGGATGGTCAGTCCAGCTCCTTGAGCTCATGGTATATTACTGCATAACTGCAATGACAGAGTTTAGGGAAATTTGGCTGCCAACGATGAGCAAAATTACTCGGAGTGGAAAACGGGAAGCAAGGCCCACATAGCTCTGTGTTAGACAGGAACTGTTTAAAAATAGCCAAAATGGCAACGGGACTGTAAGTGACAAACACTACCACTACAGACCTGCCAAGTCAATGTTGGGGGTGCGTTGATGCCACAGCAAGACCTAAACATTCCCCCTTAAAGCCCCCATACCGATGCAGCCTGCATGCTGCCGTCAAGTCCGGCTTAACACTCGTGAAAGGGCGAGCAATCCTTAGTCAGAACCGGCAATGGAACAGTGATAAGCCAGAGGGCAAGTTGACCTGCACATCCCATAACTCTAGTGGAGAGTGTTTAGTAACCCAAATCCCCAAGAGAACAGCTGAGGTCAGCAGGTTTCTACAGTGCAACATACTTCACAAGCTTTCCAAAGTAATTAGAGTGACCTCCGACCTCACGGGTGACATTTTGTTTCTCGTGATTTATTTGTCCAGGTCAACAAAATGGTAACGAGTAAGAGGAGACCTGCAAATGGGAAGCTCTGGCCTGCCACTGTCTTACAAGTATGCTGGCAGAGCAGAAACTGCTCACACTGTGCCAAGACCAGCTGCCAATCCTGGGTATCTCAGGGCAAACACAGGTGGGGCAGGAGCTGTGGTGCGGAGGGTCAGGTCAGCTAATCGTCCTGCAAAAAACCCTGGGATGACTACCTGCTGCAAACCAGATGGCAAAGGCAACTGTAGACATTTCCACCTGAAATGAAAACCCTACTTGCTTTAAAATGCGCTCTAAGCGTATAAAATGAAACACTGATGCAGCGCCAATGCGGCATCTAAACGCAACATCACCACCCACACACTCTCTCATCGCCGACTCCAAGTTGCAACTAAAGTTCAAGTCCCTAGTGCAGACCCGTAGATATCAGAAGACTTAGGATCTCATTATCAGTCAGTCATCCATCCCCTACATCCCAGCTAGTGACTGGTTAACAGCCATTACCAACCGGAAATGCATTTAGTGGGCTTGCTGATTTTCTACCACTGCGATCACCTAGCAGACTAGGCTTCCAGAACATACCAGGAATGCCTAAGTGAATCAAATCCCTGGTCCTATGCAACATAACACACTTAGACCTCCATGAGTCACCAGAATTCAGAAATACCTTACTAATACAAAACTGCTGCTATTCATATTAAGTCATGTTCTTCTTACAATCATAAAACAAAGTAAGAATGTACCATACACATATTTAAAATATGAATATATCCGACACGACTGAGGCACTAAACATATAATCTTTTAGCCATTTTGGCAAGGAGCATTACTGTGGATGAGAATGATTTTGCTTGAAGAATGTCAGATGGATGTAAAAAAACAAATAGCATTCACACGTCACCCTCCCGCTCAGAAAACACCCCTGAGTCATAAACTGAAACATTAGTGCATGCAACAGGCAAGGTGCTAAGTAGAGCGAGACTCTACCAGGAAGGAGACCAGGATCCGAAAGAGGCTTACAAACACCACTCGCAACTCCCAGCCGCTCTGCCCGAGAGGAGGCTCTCGCCAGCAAAACGCCTCGGCACTCCGGAAACTGAAAAACGTCATCGGTCGGCTGCTGGGAACTGAGCCCGATGAGGGCAGGAAGGAAACGGCGAGAACAGCAGGGTTCACACACTTTTACAGTGTGATGGACTTGCATGAACGTGCGCATGCATACACACACACACACACACATACACACACACACACAAACAGAAACACATGCACACACACAAATATTCCCTCAAGGGCAAAACCTAATGAAAAACGTATGTGAGGACCTCAAAGGGTCCCATTGTGGAAAATTTATTAGCAAACCATCTGATCAGGCTGATTAGACTGTAATCTCAAGTTGCATTACAGATTGGGTCATTAGAGAAGTAGAGGAAAGGCTTTGAACATTTGGGTAACTCATGAAACTGCAGGCACCATGCACAGGGGAACAAACGCAGGACATACACTGACCCAGGTACCTATGCCCTTCCCTTCATCTACCATTTGTTGCCAGGGTCTTCCACAGCACTTTCTGCCAGAAATATGGTGACCTTAGTGAGGCCTGGACTCACCTTATCTCCGCTGGAGTAGAAGAAGTACCGCAAGCGCACAATGTTGCAGTGGTCCAGCTTCCTCATGATCTGAAGCTCACGATTCTGAAAGGAATGGGAGAACATGGTCAATTCAGGGTGTGGGGGGCAGGGGGGGGGCAATCAGAGAAGGCTTCACATTTACTGAAGCTAAGACATCAATGTTCAAGCTCCAGTGACCCCAACCAGTTTTGAATTTTTCTGAAGAGGGGAAAAGTAAGTGACATGGGGGAGGGGGGGGGATTTATCTACCTGTGTATGTTCTGCTCTGAGATGATGTAGGGATCAGGCATCGCACGAACCTCTCGTAAACAATTACATCAGCTTATCCTGCCAAAGCATGCTTTAATCTCACTGTTTCACAAACATGGCTCCCTGAAAAATACTGCGAGCAGTATGGAGTTACGGGATAAGTCACCCTAAATCGAAAAACACACCTATACAAGGACACAAACAAGCAAAGTGTCTCCAAATTCACAAAGATGGGGGCGAAATAGGAGCGTGAAAGAGACGGCTCTGATCCCGTAACGTGCAGCTGACCACATTCTGGCCCTTGGCCGGCTCAGCTGCCCTTTGAAGCACACACAGAAGGAATTCCGGCTCCTTCCATAGGGCTGGTGTTGATTGACACCATGTTTACTAGAGCTGAGCCATGTTTTCCACTGGAAATGCCACTCCAGTGTGATTCTCCTAAGGCACACACTGTCCTGATCACTGCACTTGTTACTGATGCTGAAAAAAGGAGCACTAAAAATACTGAATCTAATGAAGTTGTGTAAAATACATAATGCTTTAACAGCTAAATTATTATATCATACATATGATCGTTGTGTGAATTGCCTCAAGGTTGTGAAATGAGGGGAAGCCTACCTATAGCCAGTTCTACAGAGGCCTGTGGGGGGGGGGGGTCCCTGACAGGTTTAGGAATGGTGGAAAGATGAATTTGGACAGAGATGCTAATCCCTTTCAGGATGGGGGGGGATTCATTCAGTGTGTTTTCAGCATGATGGCGACCCGCCCCCATTGGGCCAGTGTGTCCATGAGCAGCGAGATGATCCTAGGGGGCAGCGTGTGGCTCAGTGGGCTAAGCCTGGGTGCCTGTAATCACAAGGTCGCGGCTTCAAACCCGGCCTCAGCACGTCTGCAGGTCCTTGAGCAAGGCCCTTAACCCCCAGCTCCCTGGGCGTCCCAACAGGCGGCTGCCCTTCGCGGACAACTTCCTCAACTTGCTCTTTGTAGAGTGAGGCGTAAAGACAATTTCCCCACTGGGATCAATAAAATATCGATTATTATTATTATTATTATTATTATTATTATTATTATTATTATTATTATTAGACAGAGCGATGATCACACACACATATACTTTCTTAACCCTACACATCCCCGCAGCTTTCTTACAAACGGCATTAAATAGCGAATGTGCTCTTCCTCCTCCAGGTGTGAAATCGCAACCTGAATGTTTATTTCAGGTGATGACATCGTCTTTGTTGGCACGACATTGTCAGAGATCGACTCTGGTAACTTAACACACAAAGTTACATAGCGACTTAGACTATCAACAGTTGAATGATGGCTCCAGTGGTCAAATATTACAACATGCTGACTCAGGAAGAGGGCAATCGCTGGGAGGTGATATTAATGCAGAACCAGAAGTCAGGGCAAGTGTGTTCACATATGAAGCAGAATGAGACAGTCTTACCACAGAGACCAACTATTCATGCTGATTCAATCCGATGACTAACCACAAGTCATTATGCAAGGGTTGTGACCACATCTTGGGTTGGGGGGCACTAGATCTCGCTCTTTTTTTTCTTCTTTACAAATTTTTTTCACAGAACATGCACTCTACAGCTCGCTGACAGTGGGAACTCTGGCATGGTGGATTGTAAACTGTTGGACAGCGTTCTTCAAACCTTCCTGTACATCAGAGTTGATGGGGCGAGGGTGTGGTGCGTTTCTGTGTAAATGCGTGGGAGAATCGCTGAGTGTGCAGGGTGGGGGGTGTGATTATGTACATCTCTGCGTCAAACCTGAACATCATTCTCAGCAGAGATCAGTCATGGTGATATTCACTTGCACATCTCTCTCTCATGCACACTTGTTTAGATTTTTAATATTTCTTTGAAACACAGTAAAATATTTGCACGCCAAAGGCCCTTCCTTTTTACAGAAACCCCCATAACACCCATCTGTCAGGTTTTATGCTCTCTGTGGGAATATCTAGACAGAGCACAGTGGTCTAGAGCTCCAACACAAAGCATGTAACCAAAGTCTTAGAACCAAGGGGGCAGGATATTCCTGAGGAGTGGAAGACACCCTGCAGGTCTGAGGTCAGTACCCCAGGCCCACTGCACCCAGCTTTTTCTCTCTCTCTCTTTTTTTTAATTTTTTTTTAACACAAAGGTTCCCTGGACACTAAATAGAAGATCTTTCCTGTCAGGAGACAGGCTAGTGATTAGACTTTCACCACTGGAAACCAGGGCAGTTTTTCTGGCTGTAGTCTTCAAAGACCTCTGACCTTGAAGAACTTGCAATCTAAAGACCTCACCTGACCTTTCACAGCAGGAGCTGGGATCCATAGGACAGAACCATCAGTGTAAAAAAAGAACTGTACCACAGAACTTCACGATCCCTGCCAGATACAGACAATCTCCTGAGCAGACAGGGTGCTGTACGCACACGTACGTGCGGAATTCCCGCGTCCTGAGGTGCTGAAGGGACCCACCAGTTGACAAAGGAGGACCCATGAGCTGGGTGTGTATGGAAACCCGGCTGGGACACACCACGCATTCCTCTCTTACACTAATGCTGCAAAAGGCCATGTGTGGGCGGATATGGCAGGACTCAATGAGGACTTTGTGTGTGAGAGAACACGCATGTTTGTGTCTACAAAGTATTTTGGGAGGTGGGGGGGGGGTTTCTATTCACTGAAGACAGGATACATCTTTTGTGTTTCACACCAAGGGGTCCAATGACGAAAAACATCTTTCCCATGTTCACTCATCTGTTCTTGCTCTATGCCCTTCCTTGTGGTGAATCGGTGAAAGGTCAGGGCCCTGCTGCCTGTCAGGGGGCACGTCGAGATGCACTATTCCCAGCCCCCTGCTGAGACTCGTAATTTCATGTCTTCCTGTGATGTCATCCTCTGCATTACAAAGGCCTTGTTCACACAGCGTCTGGTACCTCCAGTGCTCAGGTATGGATAAATGTGCTTTGACCTCTTGGGCTGGATGAGGGAATCTCAGTGCTGTGGGCCACACCGGCACCAGCTCAGCCAGCTACCCGCCCTCAGCGGACCTCTGACACAGGTGGTCCGGGCCTTTTTCCCCCTCCCAGGTACCATTACGGACTTACACGCAAACTGAAAGTATGTTTATGCCATGCAGCTGGACAGAGAAGCCTCAGGGGGAAAAACAACAGGAAATACCACAGCAGCAAGGTATCTGCACTGGTTTTATAGTAAAAAGGGATACACATGATGGGGGGACGGAGGGGGGATTTGTGTGTTTGAATACAAGTGTGGGATCAAAAAATCCAGCTGTGGAAGGGACGGTGCCAAATTACTGAGAACACGAAAGCTGTACGCATCTATAACCTAGACCATTATACACTTTGTACGGCCCCCTTGAGCAGCCCAATAGTGTTCTCCACTTCCTCACAAGCTCCCTGACAGTTTTCAGACCTTCAGATATACTGGCTCCATCACAGCCCAGGGCCAACATACCCTTCCCAGCCAAGATCCTTTTTAAGAGCAGTTAGCAGATTGATAAGAAGCTAGCTGGGTCTCACCAAAAACACTGCATCATGCCCGGATTTTCTTGCGGCGAATAACTTCAGGCTAAATCTTCAGAAACTCAAAATACTCCCTTCTGATGCAAACTCAAGGGTGCCTCCCCCGACCCACACCGGCATCCTCACCTTGAATCGTTTGTCCTGTAGCACCTTCTTGATGGCCACCAGCTCGCCCGAGTCGCACAGCTTGGCCTGGTAGACGACGCCGAAGGAGCCGTTACCGATCACCTTGGTGTCTGTGTAGCTGACCTCCTGCGGCCGGTCGGGCCCTTGGCCCGGCGTCGCCACCACCGTGGTCACTTTGCTGCCATCTTTGTCTCCTACGGAGTGACAGGTAGAGCGACATGTTTCATTTTGGGTTACGACAATATTGCCACAAAACACAGTTCGCACATTACAGGAAAGAGGATCACGTTCATGTGGTTCAGGTGTAATAATATGTAGAGATACTCCAACTGTATCGGCCGACTCTGAGAATCAGCCAATAACAGCAACAATCGGCCACTGAAAGTTTAAAAAAAAAAAAAGAGCCGATATTTACCACTGCCAATCCCTTTAAAATGCTCACCCATATTGCTTTGCACCCCAGGGTACTAACCAGATAGAAAAATCTCTGCAATGTGGATTTATTTTAACACAGTTAGAAATGCATTTTGCAAACATTGCTCTGCTGAGATTTCACGAGGAGGATTTACTAATAAGCACTTCAACTAGGGCAGCCACTAACAATAAGTACTGATTAATCTATCGACTATTTTAAAAATTGGTCAATTAATTTAAACGATTAATTTTCCTCAAGTAAATTTTATTTTGACAACAACAATCTTTATGTCATTTCAGGACTTTATATAGGGGAGGCTGGCCTTTCGGAACTATACGGACATTATTTTCGCCCACGATTCGATAATCAGATTAGTAGTATGCCTAAAATATTAATGAGATGCGTATCGTGATGTCGAAAAGTTAGTAATCTGCATAATTTCTGCATATCTTTATGCTTATTAAATTAAGCTAGTGGAGCACTCCAGATGCGACTGTTTTAGTAAATCAGGGAAGTGGAAAGCAGTGAAGTGGCGATGAAGAAGCAGACAGCTCTATAGCTTTTGAGAGAGGAGATAACTGCAGTTACACAAGGTAAAAGGCGTCGGTGGTGTGGAAATACTTCTCGCACATTTAAGTCTGGCACATTTTTGTTTGGTAAATAGTTTTCATTTTTATTTCAGTTTTTTAATGTCCGTCTTCCTTTTAGTTTAAGATAACACTAGCTCCAACAAGCTCAAAGCATTAGTGCCGTCATGGTATGTCATCGAAACTTAATTTGCAGTGAATTGAACTATTCCCATAATTGCGCAGCAATATTAAAGGAAAACATTTATTATAATGAAGCGTTTTCTAAATCATAGCAGTAATTTCATTAAAATTTAAAAAATAATTTTAAAATATTGATGCCGATACATTGTCAGCGTCGCCGTCATCAACTACGTCGACTAACATCGGCAGCTCTAATTTCAACACAATGAATTTGATTGTTCACCTTAAAGTGAGACCGTGAAGAATATGAAGTGTTTCTGAAAACCCATTCGGCCAGAAACTTCCTTATCGGTGCATCACTAATAATACGTCACTGAAAGTGTGTCAAATGTGCATGCATACAGCACAGCCATGAGTCAATGCCAACCCAGCAGCCTTCAAATTCCCCCCCCCCCGTGATTTATGTCCTGGGCCTGGCCACTGGCACTGGGACATTTCACATGCGTTCTGAAATACCTTCCTGACGCAGACCTCAGCCGAGCCATCTGTTACACGGCTTCTGCAGCTGTGCCTGCTGGAATTCAATCCCATGATCCTCTGCTCTCTCGACTGCCCGCATGGCTAATGAGACCAGAGCAGACCTCCAGAGTAGGTTTTTCCACTCCCACACCCCAGCGCTACGCTGTCAGCCTCTTACAGAGACCTACCCGCTAGGCTGGTTTTAAACGGGGAGCCCCCAGGCAGTGGCGGGGGCCATGTTTTGTAGCACAAAGAGCTCCAGCTAATAGCTCCGAGCTCTCAGATGGGTAACGATTTCCTGACAAAGAGCCTGGTGGCGTTAAATAGACCAGGGCCCTCAACAAAGACATCTGGCTTAGGGGTTAACTGCCGGTACCATGCCAACTGTGGGATTATCATGCAAGATGTGCAGCTCTTTGAAGTACAAGCAACAGTCTAACACTTCCAAACTCCCCAACTGTTACTACTCATGATAATAACAGTTACGGTACACATTCAAATGAACAGCTTTAATGAGACTTTACAAAAGATGCAAACATTTCTCTCATTTTTCTCTGGTTAAGACTTTTATGAATTCTTTCCTGGCACATAAACCAAAATCAGGTCGGACCGCTGATCTGAAACCAACACCAAGAGTCAAAGGTACAGATTGAGAAAGAATCACAGAATGAAACTAAATTCAGCCTGGAAACAAATAAAACCTTTTCACTATTACAACTGTGGGTGGGAGGCAGGGGCAAAGCTAATATAGCACAAGTGACAGCAGACAGCAAGCGGCATCAGGGCCAAAGGTCTTGTTAGCTTGCTGTTAAAGATAAACCAGGCTGGTGACAAGTGTGTCATGGGTTCAACTGGAAGAAATCACTGTTCTGCAGACAAGACAGGTGTAAAGCTGAATTAAACGATTTCAACATAAAAAATGAGTCCTTGAACCAAATCAAACAAGACTGATTAAAAATGTAAACACCTCCTTTAATATGCAGAAAAACCGATGCATATTTCATGATAGATCTGTAAAGGAACTGGATCTGAATGTAAATTTCAGTAAAAATAACCCATACTTTACTGAAGTAAACCTTGTCAGTGTAATACTAAACACACTTTCACCAAATATTAGATTTTTCCCCAATTATTAAATGGCATGAAGAGACACGTGACAAGGTTGCGTCTAAAGGCTAAACGCCCTTAACTCACGAGTGCACGGCTTATCAACATTCACGTTCCCTTACTGACCATGCACCTTCCAACGCACATCACAGCACAGTCAGGCCACAGGCAGGTGCCTTGGCAACCTTAAAGAGGACGTTTCGACACCACTGTACGCGTCACGCCCGTCCACCAAGTTCTGTTTGGGGAAACACAGAACGGTGAGCAAAGGTTTCCGTGGGAACAGAGACAAATAAATAAATAATGATAAAAAGCCAATCCAGTAACAGACGGCAAATCGGCCCTCAGCAGAGGCGGACGGGAAACCCTGCGACCCTGGGAGACACTGGTTAGCCGTGCCTGCTTTCCCCGCAAACGCACCTCTGTGCCTCGGACAGATGACGTACAGAGACGGCTTTCGAATGGGGGTGACCTGCTCAGACAGGGAGGGTCTTTCCAGCAGACGACACGCTTTAGCACACTTTTAAACAAGCTGTCCGCAACCTCCCCTGTCCTGCCCGAACAAAGACCTACCCACTGCCATCGTCCGCAGGCCGCACCTACCTTGCCGCCTCATATCCCGGGGAACTCACTCCAGCAAGCTGCCTCGGACGCTTCACAAAGGGCTGGCGAACCGCCGGCAAAATGTTACCAACTATATATATAAGAAAAAGGGCAGTTCAGGAAGTCCAAAGCTTCCCGGGCTCGGAGGTTGTGTCCCCAGCCATCGAGGCACCAAGAGCTCCTCACTCACAGATCAGTGATCAGTTATTAGCGGATGAGCTAACAACCGACTTGCTGATAATGGAGCAATGATACTGTAAAGGAAACCAGCGGCCCTGTAAACATCTTTACGTTTTACAATCTCTCGATTTTCTTTTTTTTTTACCCTATTGATGGCCTAGGAAAGCAGGCAGTAAGAAATTCAAACAAGTGATAATTCAAGCACCGACTTATTATGGTGCGTTCCCGCTGACATTTTCCCTGAACGGGCATTTTTTCCCCCGACGAGAACGCCGAGGCTGTAGCCTGTGGAGTCACTGACAGGAAGTCCACAGTCCCGTCTTGTAGCCTCCGTGGCCTGTTGCACAACCTCTGCACCTTTTTGCTATTTCAGTGACGGTTTCCCAACTCCGAACATTCTCTTTAAATACAGTGTGCAGAGCTGAAAATGAAGCATCCCCCAAACATCAAGGTTTCGCCGTGACTCACGTCTGCCCTTTTTACTGTGTTTGCTGGAGCCGCGTTACCCAGATTTTACTTGAAAGCGACTAGAGAGATAAAATCAGTAAAGATGTGAGCAGTTAAAAGCACACGTACCTACAGATTCCCAGACTGAGAATAGTCTTGCATGCCTACACGTTGTACACAATAGTCAATGGGGGGGAGAGGGGGGGGGGAACAGGAGAAAAAAGAAATTTTAAATCGCTTTGAAGACCCAAAGCACAACAGGATAAGGCTCACCTCTGTCAGACAGGGAAGCCGGCAGGAGCAGTAGGGTTTAGTCACCTAGCAATTAATGATCATAAATGCCGTTTAATTTTTACCGAGGTCCAAACCTCAAAATAAACACAAGATAACAGCTGATCTGTACATAAGACATGGTCATCACCAGAACTGCTGATTCACACAGCGATGTGCTAAATGATTTTAGCGCATGTTTTAATATGCCGCCCTTCTGACACTATCCTTTATTTTCAGACTATGTTCTGAGGTGGAATCTGAAAGGGGGGGGGGGTTGATTTAACCAGTCAAAAAAAGTACAATTCAAGCAGGAATCACATATGTTACTGAGAGGGTCTCTGAAATGGCCTGCACCCTCTGTTCGGTTTACTGCAAACTCTCACTTTTAAATTTCTAGACAGAAAGGTCCAATTATTCGGATGCTGTGTAAAAATAAATTAAGTTACTCTGCTAGTTACTTACAGGTGATCCAGCATCAATTTAAGTCCCTGGTGAAGGAGGGGGCACATCTGGTGTGCGTGCGTGTGTGTGTGAGAGAGAGAGAGAGAGAGAGAGAGAGAGAGAGAGTGTGTGTGTGTGTGAGGAAACGAGAGGGGATGAATCTATTCCTTTTCAATCAAAGACATTAAAAAGCTATCATGTCAAGATCGAAAGCACCCAAAAGCCAATTAAACGTTTACCGAAACTGGCCGGCGCTCTCAGCTCCAACCCACGTCACGCGAAATGGGTCAAAGTGTCTCCTGCCCTCCACGAGGTCGGCGTTCAGTCAGGCACAGTCCATCGGGGGACCCAGACGACCTGAATGAAAAGGCTCGTGGGGCTCCATCCCGGTTCAGGCGGAAGAGAGCCGCGCACCGGGGCCCCCCTCTGGCCACAGACCGCCGCGCACCGGGGCCCCCCTCTGGCCACAGACCGCCGCGCACCGGGGCCCCCCTCTGGC